TGAAGCATCAGAATCCCAAATGTAATAACTTAAAATGAAATGAAAGCTACTTTTTTTAAAAAAACTTTGTAGACACGTTAACACTTACTAAATGCAAAACACTAGATGGAGCAACTATCCTGTTTTAACATGCCCTTCTCTTCAAAGGGGAAAGTCTATTTCAGATCTGAAATTAAACATTATAGCTATAACAACATTATGACAAATAAAATTTTCTTGGAAAAACACATTTTTCCTTAGGAAAGATTTTCCTTCGGAACTGTGTATAAAGGTATTTACTAATTGGCACAGAAAAGCATCTTTGCACATTATTCCTGAACATTCCTATACAAATATGTATAAATTAGATGTTAAACAGCTCCAACCTGTTTGCTATTTGAAGACCTTCTGGGAATAGAAAAAATTTCAGATTTTTCTGTGCTAAACACCTGACCTATGTTTTTTTTCCAGAATACATAAATGGCATAGAAATGAAAATGATGTCTTACCACCCATTCTCCCATTTATATTATTTTTTCTTCTAAAATTTCATTTATGTTACTTTTATATCAACTCCTAATGCTTAGTATATACTTTTATGACTTTTGTTATACAGCTCCAACAATTTTTCCCTTGCAGTTGTAAATGAATTTCTTTCGGAAAATGTGCTTACTTTCCTATGATCAATAACAAACTTAACACATCCCTGAATCACTCTGAAGTTTTAAAGCATTAAGTTTGAAGGATTTTTGGGGAAGGAAAAAAAAAAGTCATCTGCTTCTTATCTCTGCTGTCCACCACTTACGGTAGCAAACAGTTTTAGGGGGTGATAAAAAACAACAGCTTGTTGCCCATGCACTTATGCCATTGTACAGAGGGTTAGGAACTGGAACAATGGAAAAGTGAATTCATTTCCTCTGTCTACTGGCGTACTGGATCAAATTGCTTCTCCTCAATTTCATCAGTATAAATGAGATTCATATAGTTCTAATCCTTCCCAAAGCCCTAAAAACATAAAAATAGAAAGCATCAAAGAAAGCTTGATGAGAAATATATCCTAGTCATCCATTGTCTCTCAGCTACGCACCAGGAGAACACAGTGTTATACAGTCCACTAACAGAATATTCACGGAGTAGCCAAACTACTCTTTCTTTCTCCTTGAGACTGCGGACCCAGCAATTCACACTGAAGGTGCAGTGCATTTTTAATACACCCTCTGCTCTTTCTAAAACATTCAGAACACAGGAGAGCAAATCTGAAGTATAAAACTTTCCAAACATGTGGCAGTTGAGGATGATACATTTATTTTAGGCATGCTCTTTTACAGTAACAACGTTAACTAAAACCTGAGACGAACAGATGAAAGAAGCTGAGAAAACTTGGAAGCATTATCCCCATACTCACCTGCAAAAAAGCCACAAACTCCAAGCCACCTCCCCTCTACCCGCCTCCAAAAACCTCCACACATGCAGTGTATCGTACTGCAACTGCAAAACTTGGCCCACACAACATGGTTATACTTCTTCAGAAACTTCAGGCAAGCATTTGATGCTTGGTGCATTCTTGAATCAAACAAAAACTAAGCATTATAGAATCATCAATTCGTCATCAATAAGTGTTTAGGGAAAATGTTGAACACGAACATATACACAGTAAGGAACAATACAGGCAGAGGTAGATCGGAAACATCCACTCTCTGCTTCAGTTCAAAAACAAAAAGCTGTGCAATACTGTGGTTTTACTTCTCCCTTGGGTCTAGGACCAACTAAATGTATATAAAAAAAGAAAGATCTTGCAGCCAACAACAGGCCCAGAAAATAACTGACTGACTATATGGGAATACAGCCATGAGGTCCTCCTCACAAAAAAATCATTGATGAAAAATTGTCTAGTTACCTACGCATGCAGATATTTTAGCTAGGCACTCAAACTTTAAGGTTAGTTTTCTTCTCTCATCATTGTGCTTACGTTCAGTTTAAATTCATTATGCTGGATAAAGACAACAGCATAAGGTCAAATGCATTAGTTTTTAAGGCTGCATTTTTTTTATTAAAATCAGGCATAACAATTGTTATTATTGCAAGCTGAAACTCATTGCCTGAAGTTGTTTCACCAAGTGTTCATCTGAAGCTATTTATTGATTGGTCCTCCAACTCCAGAACACCCTCTGGGATTTTATAAAGAGGAAGGAAATATAGTCTCTTTTCGGCTGCTCATCTAGAAATGCCAAAAAAAATTATCTAAATGGAAATGCCTTGTTGACAATACAACCATCATTCATCCTGCTGCACAGCTGTGGACACTTCTAACGGCATTTGCTTTGCAACAGATCCTTACCACATTGTAGGTCCACTCAGGTATTCAGTGAATAGCCATACTGAAGGAACACTCATATGATGGGATCTTTCTTTGTACTATGCAGAGATTCCATTGCTAAGACAAATCTAGTAACTCTAGCATACAGAACAATATTCCAGCTAGTTAGAGAATATTAAAGGATATTAAATAAGGAATTCCTTTCCCTATGCCAGAATTCAGCTTCCTGTCTTACCAGCTCAAATGAAAAATCCAACCTGTGTGGCAATGAAAAGGAGTCTGATTTTGAGTATGCATGAGAAACCACAGTTTATTCAATTACCTGAAGTTCTAGACAAAGACTAAGAACTATAGATTGCTCCAAGGTTTATATTTTGACTATTATCCAAAAGTTAAGGACTTATATGGTAAAAGAATATCTTTTAGATAGCAGAAAACATAAATTAAAACAAAAAAAACCTCAAAACCTATTGTGCATTGTCCAAAAACATTAACACTCTATACATTTGGTAGCAGAACTGGTAATATAGCTGTAAGTCTGCAACTTGATAATATATCCTATTTTCTGTAGAAGGTTCTATTAACTTAATATCTATCTTTATTAGTTTCAATGCTTTAGACAGACAATAGCTGAAAGAATTGATAATTCGCAGTTTCTGTAATATGAGCTATTTCTGAATATAACAATTGCTATGATCCTGTAAATTCCTGCCCTCGGGCAGTTTCCCTAAACAATAACTTAGGAGTACGTATTCACCTGTCCCCTGCCAATTTAACTTTCAGAATTAAGGAAAATCAAAAGAATACTAACAAGAAGAGAATACAGACTAATACTAAATATGCATTATATTTGAAGTTTGGTCCTCAAATTTGTTATAATGTATAGCAAAAAACAACTTTCTTGAAGAATCACAAAATGGAGGATTAGAAAATCATCTTACTCCATTTAATTTTAACTAAGACAACGCTTTCCTTTATAACAATAGATTTCTGTATTTCATCTTGTTAAGTTTCAGTGTCAAGAAAGATAATTCCTAAAATTTCAATTTTAAAAAAAGATTTTGTGAAAACTTTTAAAATGCCAACTATTAAAAAACTTTAAAATTTCAAGGGAATTTTCAGCCATGTCTTCATGTAGGTTTTACAGGGCCTTTATCCTGTTTGAGGCCTTTACTGAAACATTAACAAAAGCAGTAATGCTTGTAATAACTGTTACCACAAAATAATGCCTTCTAACAATTCATTGAACAGATTCAAGAGTTTGAGACTGGTGCTTTTCATCACTGTGCATTATTCTTGAGCTCTTGGGAATATATTAGCAAAATATATTTCTCATTGTATTATTATTTAACGGTAACTTATGATGTGTGTCTGACATTACCTTTAAAAACAATTAGATGAAAAACAATCATATTCCAAATATTTTCTAATCAGGACTTTGGAGTTCAGATTCAATTAATCCAAATTTAGCCATTGAAAAGTTAGCTATTTAGTCTAGGCACATTCTCTAGGCAATGAAGGCATAGAAAACTCACAAAAAGGGTAGACATCCAATCTCACACGAAAGGGGATGAATCATTCTATTTACACCATGTATACAATATTCCCCAAAAATGAGACTGAACTAGAAATTTAACATTTAGAATGGTCAAAGTTGGGTAATATGAATCCCATTTTGGATGCCTATGTATAAATAAAACTGCCCCTAACTAGCTACTTTTTCAATGGCATACCTACTCAATTAAAAGAAACCCCAGATTTTTCCTACTTTTGGTAAATCTCATTCTTCTTAATAACACAGCTAGTTGTACATTGTATGTAGTTAAAAGAAAAAATAAGTTATTTTACAAGAAAATAACTTACTGTTATCATTGAAAACACACTGAACTAACAAACTGACACAAACATGTTTTCTGTAGAAATGAGACACTGAACGCCGTTTCTTATTCCTCTCAGTCCTTGAATCTGGTGCCTCAGAACTCAGAATTTCATATGTTTATCTGAGTATCAAAATTTCTAAAACAAATATTACACTAAGGGCTTTAAATTCAATTTCTTAGCACCATATTCATAAATTAATTTAGCTCTTCAGCCAGTTCTACCTAAAATGATTAAAAGTCTTTCTTCTGACTCTAATGAGTGCTCTTTCTTGCTCTTGCAATCCATTTTATCTTGTGCTTGAGTTACACACGGAAAACCTCTGAAAATAATGTTACCATACGTTTGACTGAATAGTAACTCTGCCTCTGCAGAACTGTTATTCCTACTGCTGACCCACAAGCCAGAAAGAACACAACCTGAATTTTAGAAACCAGGGAAAATCTGCACCACTAGCATTCTCATCATTATAAAACTCTTTTTCAAGCTGAGAACTGATGGAATACTTGTTGTCCTTCAAGTTTAAAGACTACAGTCAAGTGGGGCCCCACACTGCCATATCTAAGGACTTTGAACAAAATAGGAGCACAATGTTATTGATGTAATGCTTAACATTCTGTAATGCAAAATAGTTATTTGCTGGACCAGAAGCACAAAAAACTCCTTAATTCCTCCTGAGAAAAGAAAGGCAATAATCAATTAGTATCTTAACAGAGTATAGAAATATAATTTTAATCTCAAAAAAGAATACAGTAAACTATCGCAGTCAAATGATTATTCATGCATTCCTATCCAAATGCTATCGCTATCTCTTAATGATTCTCACCTCTTCCTAATTTCTGAATCCACAAGGAGCTGCCTCTTTTTGTGGGGTGGAGGTGGTGGGAGTTCCTCTTTAGCATGCTTCACCAGGATTTGTTCTCTTGTGGTCACCATAGTTACAGTTTCCATTACAGTTGTCTGCGTTAGTGATGTCTGAGCGGTAGTGACAGCCTGTGAAATCTGTGAGAAGTATTAAAACAGAGGTCACACATTGCTTGAAAGACTTTAGTAAAGACTGTTTGGAGTGGCAATAGAAAATAATGAGAAACTGCTGCTGTCTGATCATAGGCTGACCTTCAGAAAAAAGTAACACCAAATTGAACTCAAACCAAATTGTTTTATCTGACTCATGCTATGTGAATAAAACATCTGTAGAATTCAATATCAAAATCAGAAAGAATCCTAAACAGAATGTATTTATGGCTCCCTCTAAATCACACTGAATGAAGAAAAGAAATAAATGGTAAAGAAAAGGTCAATTTCATGAGGGAATGGAATGATTGAAAATATATAAAATGTTACTGTTTCTGTATGTCACTCTGCCTCCATTCTAAATATTTATTCCTCGAGGACAGATAAAGGAAACCTTTGGCACTAAAATACCAACTGTTATTTTTACTGCTTATACTAATTTTCAAGCCAGGATATAATTCATCACAATCCACTTGTATAAAAGAGCAAGTAGTTTTCTGTAAGGAAATCTTAAATAAGAAAATAAGCACTAGAAGACAGGTAAATATGCCTCAATATTATTTCATAATTAAAAATATTAAAGGGGTTCATAAAAGATACTAACGCTTAAATATGTAACACTACCAATCTAATGTGATTACTTTGCCCAGTAATATGAAAATGAACTTTTTGAATAGTTCAGTTGTAGAAAAAGGTATGTTGAGAAATATTTTCTGCTCACGTGTTTGAAAGATAAAGTGAAAATATAGATTAGTGTCATCAAAGCAGTTGTGCATGTACCATCTACTTATATTTGCTTCCATATGATATTAAACTATGAAGTTCCCATGTAAATATGGGAAGCTATCCTCTAAGTGCCTTAATTCATCACTAATTCTTTTTGTTCTGTCAGATGCTGGCTCATTCTCTCATGGAACAATGGGAGAACAATGATGAACAATGGAGAAGAGGCATACCAGGTAATTAACAGTAATTCCTTTCCCACAGCACTTTCTTCTGCGGAAAAACAGAGTGACATGGAAAGAGCCTAGTGTAAGCAACCAGCCTCTTGTCAGCAGGCAATGCCAATAAGGCAAACAAATATCTGAAAAACCCTGACATGCTGGCAACATTGCCTAATTCCTGTAGTATGCTAAATAAAAAACGTCTTGCTGTTCTTTGCCCAGTCTGCCAACAGAAATAATAGCTAGAGAAGTCCACTGCCACTGTAATTTTGGCAATCTTACTTAAAGGGGTCAACCTGGTGCTACGTTTCCCCTTCTAGAAATGACCAGCTATCTAGGTTTTAGAGAAGAATCTGGACTATTTAGAAGACTATAAAGTTAAGATTCAAAGCAGAACTTTCATCTGCGGTATGTTAACTAGAGTAAGCTGCCTGTGAACTGTAGGGACTTTGGAAATGTATGAATTATATCAATTCTTTGGCAGAGAAAAACACCTCTTTTACTTTTTAATCACTTCTCTCTCTATATAAATACCATTGTTTTGGCTCAACTGCATGTATCTGCTTTGATGTTTTCAACTACAGGCATCATGAAAGTAATAAGGAAACATTTCCATACAGATTTATTAATATTTTATGCAGTATTCTTTTGAATTTTCTTTTGAATTAACTTTTATTTCTGGAGGGGAAGCAAAGAGCAAATTAAAGTTTCTAAGGTCTAGGGGTCTATGAACACCTGAGGTCATCTGTCACTGGGTTGTCTCTGCAGATAAGAACACTCCAAATCATTGCTTACTCCATAGGCGGATTTTTGGCTAGAGTCTCTCTTTCCTCCTCTCACAAAATTCTTACAGTACTCAGTGAAAGTTTTATCCGAAAATCAACGGCAGGATATGTGTCTGACACCTGAGGCCACTTCCTGTCATGTTTCCATTTGCCGATCAATATCAGGGTACAGCTTAGAGTGAAGAAGGTGCAAAACAAAGAATAAGGTGCAAAACAAAGAATAAACCACAGCTAGAGCACTGTAGGCCTACAACCAATCCGCAGCCTACAACCAATTACACAGCAGTAACAGCTTCAGCTGGTGCTTGGGAACTGTGCTTCAAACAAAGAAGGCAGTGTAATTACCATACGTAATGTTTAGCGCAGTGAAGTCGCCATGCTGGGAGGTGTAATGATTTACACGTCAAAACAGTAAAAATGTATTTTACATGCTTAATCAATAAGAGTGGAGGTTAAATACTATATACTTCAAAAAGAAAATGGAGATATGAACTTGAAGTTCATAATCATTCTAATCACTGAGATTAGGGAAGACTAAAAGGGGCTGAATATTGCACTGCAATGTAACTGTGTGCGATGAACTTTAGGAAGCTGGTATGCATTTAGACTACTACTCTGCAGCTGGCAAAGGAAAAATCCTTAAAAATATAAACTTACAAAAGAGGAAGTAACTTCTACTTGCTTTCCTGGCCAAAAAAAAAAAAAAAAAAAAAACCCCAAAACCCCACCTTTAATCTTACCATGGAAGTGGTTTGCTTCATGATTATTGATTCAAGGATGATCCAAGTAATGATAGTATAGTTCCTTTAACCATCTAAGTTCCTGACAAGCACATGTGAATCTGAGAAGGGGAGTTACAGACTCGGCCTTTAACCCACTGGAGAATCATAAGGAAAGTGCTAAGGTGACTCATGAGGCTGCACATTAAAAGGCTTTCAAAATACAGTGCTTGCATCCAGTTTCACATCAGCAAGCTTGTTTTAGGAATGCGTTAAAACTCATCTCTTTTCAGAGTAGACAAATTTCAACTTCCTTCTTACCCTCTACAGATAAAGGTATGTACAATGTGTGTATAACACTTCAGTAGTTTTATGCCATTTTATTTCTCTCTTATACTGCAGCCTACCTTTAATGCCATCATTTATTACTGCCTTTGGAAATGCCCTCAGTCCTGATATACTCATAATTTTCCTTAACATTCACTTTTGGAGCTGTCATCTGTTCTTCGATAAAATGTGTGTATGTGAGCGGGGAAGTTCAGATGAGGAATGGTGTTTTCTTTAGTTTGGGAAGGTTTTCAGCATAGTTTGGTGAAGCATAATACACTCACTAAAGATGGCTTTGGATGTCTAAAAGTTATCCATCTAGTTGAAGCACGTTGTCCTTGTCCTTGTTTCCATTGTGTCGTCAATGAAGAAAAGCAGATACTATTTCACGATGAGGATAAACAGCTTTCTGGAGATGTTTCTCCCTCTCATCCTTGCCATCCATTCATTATAGCAGAAGTTTCGGCCATGAGTTCAGATTAGATGCTTAAATTTAGCAGCAAGAAATTCAGCTAAATGTGGAACATTTACATTCTTCTTTCAACACATTTCCTTTGGGTTGCATAACGGTGTCCAATGTCTAATTGGAAAAATCAGCTGTGAAGCGATTGTTCAAGGCTGAGATTGTCCGTTCCACATAATTTCTTAGTTTGTTAAATTATTAATCATTTAGAGACATCACAGTAAGAGAGGGAGGGGAAATAACTAATGACAAACAACATTATTATAAAAGTACTATGAGAATAAATTATTAATGACAGGAATAAAGTTCGTTTTGAAGTCAGTATCTAAGTTTGAAGAATAATATGTGTATTTTCTGGTAAGTTTCAGTGGAAAATTGTTACCCTCTTCCTACTCCCCTCCACCCTAGTGCATGATTAGACAGAATAAGAACTTTTAGTCGATGATCTTTTCTCAGAGACATTTTCCTTCTTGCAGACTCAATATGTAAATGAGCTGTATAATGAATAAACTAATAAACACCACTAACTTTATCTGCCCTGCCTATTAAGATGGCACATGACAATAAACACGCTATCAATATTTCATAATGCTTGGGTGAACATGGGGACATAGCTAAACCGTGTAACCGTGCACGAGGAAGAGATCCTTAGGTTAGCAACGAGTATGCAATGGCTCCAGAATCTGAAGCAATAAGGCTGCATCAGCATGCTGGCTCTGTGCCAAGCAAAGTGGCTTCTCCTTGGAGGAAGAGCTTATCAACTGAAGTGAGGTCCTATGATACCACGGAGACATTGCTTTGGAAACCCAAAACCTGTGCTGCACTGTGATGTATGGATGTACCACTGTCATTTCACAGTGAGAATCTACCTTTTCTGTAATATGAGTTCCATTTTCAAAAGTAGTATCTGCTTTTAGGAGACATCAACAATCTCAATTACTTCTGAATAATTTGGCTGGTTCCAAGGAGGAGAAGTTTATTTTTTTCCCAACCCTTCATGACCACAGGTTTCAGAAATTTTACTGACATGAAATATCAGCAGGCTGTAGCACTGAAACCCACTATCCCTTCAGCAGCATCTAGAACATTAAATGAAATAGCTTTTTATACCTATGAACATGAATATACCCAAACAAACAAAGGCGTGTATGTGCCAGGGAGTGCAGACAAGGACAGGAAAAAAGAAATAGCACAGTCTTCCGAAATAAAGCTTCAAATTGAATTCAACAATTATTTCACCAAAACTGTGGGACCTACACACATGGTATTATGAATGCAGGTTTGAAAAATTGGTCTTGCAAGTAAAAAGTTACAAATACTTTAAGACATCTATGGTATGAGCACAGTTTGGAAGAAGAAACTAAGTAACAAAATATGAATGGAATAGTTAATGGCATTAATTAATTATAACTAATTATAATTGTATTATAATTACAATAAATTAATCAATGGAATTAAAGTAATACAGTATATAAATATAGCTTTTAATTGAGTATCCAAAACACTGATTTTCACTGTGCAGTTTATAGATTAGACAGCCTTTTATGGTTGTAGCTTTTCTATATAGATGGCATATGTAATATGTAACTCCTACTTTTCTCAGTTTAGTAGGTGATTTCTTATATATTAACATGACGGTACTTCTCTCTCAATTTACCTAACTAAAGTTTTTTATGAAATAAAAATAAACGAAGAAAGTTATAACTCTGTATTTGTTAAGGTCAGAGGGGTTAAGGCGTCAATTTTTACTGGTATTTAGAATTAGAATGTTAGGAAGAAGAATGTTAGGAATCTTGAACAGGTTTATTCTTCTAGAAAATGGAGCTACTGAGCTACTAAATTTATGTTACACACATAAACACAATGTACATACTATGTAAGCTGATCAAAATAAATGAAAATTGGTCTACAACATTTGCTTTTCTTGTAAGATACCGTTTTTTTAAAAGGCATTCATGGAAAGCCCTGTTCTGCAGTTACTATTAGAAACCAATTTGCAGAGGTAGCCTTGAGAGCTTGCTTAGCCATTGAAGTTTGCATAGATAGTTTCTCCTCTGTCCCAAATAGGCTTGAATCTTGTGCACAGCTGCACAACCAAAGGCTTTGTGATGCTCTGACTGTATACACTCTGCACCAAGCACTGCTAGGAACTTCAATCACATCAATACATCTTAAATTTGTATTTGTCAGTGAAACAATCCAAGCTGGAGGACAGTACTGTCCTGTAGAAGATCTGAAGAATGTACTCTTTGGAGAAGTTTCCAAAATTCATGAGCCTGTGACCTGACATACTGAGTTCTTGAAATCATGAGATATTAGCCATCCCAAATTCAAAATGGATTTTTCTTTGCATAGAAGCAACAGGTTTCCTAGTGTAAATATGAAAGAGTTAAATCAAAACTTCAACTGTTATCACTACCAATGCTGTATAGCACAAATTCCTTTTGACTTATGTTACTAAGTGGAATTTTTCCTCTCTCCATTGTATTTATCTCTCTTTTGCTGTCTCAAACTAATTTTTCCAACTTCAGCTAAGCAGCAATGACCAGAGCAAAATAAAAGATTAATGAATAGGAGTTTAGAGAAAGGGTATTGAGAGATACCCAAATTGCTACAGGAAATATAGCAGTTTTCATTTAATCCTATATGTGTCCAGCATAAGGCGGCAGAAACGTTAGCATATAGCCGCAAAAACTTGCCACACAGTAAAGGGAACGGAATCAGACTGACAGAAACATGACAAGTACTCTAGGAATGTTACAGAGAAGCATGCAGTAACATTCGGCTCTGTGCTATTATTAACAAATTTTAATGCCCTCCCTCCTCCATTTCACTCTTCAAATTATGTTGGTTCAAAACTAACTCAACATTGATGAGATAAGGGAATGGAAAAAAGTGAGCTGACTTCAGTTTAACTCCATCAAAAAGGAGATGCTGACAGACGGTTAGAAAAAAATGAGTGGATACATTTTGGAATACTACACCATAGCACTGATCTGGTTTAACAAATGTGAAACATTAATCCTTAGTTTCTTTTTTAATATATTATGGGTAACAAAAAGAAGTAAGACAGAATAATAGTGGGTGATTTTCTTTTTCATTGATATTTTGGCCACAGACATGGGTTCCTTTATCTTTCCAAGACACTTCTCTTTTTATAGACCCATTTTTTAATCTGCAAGTCAGGATAACATAAGCAGAAGTGAAACAGTAATTACATAAACTTTCACTGTTGAAGAGAAATAAAAATAATTTCAGTTTAACTACTAAATGGTTCTAACAGTGATTTCAGATTAAGTACTATTCCACAGAGATAGCCATAACAACTGTGTATATAAAGTGACCAACTATTATAGGTTAAAAATAAATTAACTGGAAATATTTTCATTATGGATTGTACAACCTCTGAAAACTTAGTTAAAAACCTATAAAGTTATCAACACTATAAAGGAGAGCACTTAAAAATAGAGAGATAAATTACATCCTGGAAAGTTATGCAACAAAGAGTTGTATTCTGCTATACTAAAAATAAACCGTGTCTGAACCAATCATGCAGGGAAAAGGTTTAAAATAATATGACAAAGAGCCCCAAAACTACTTCAGGCATCTGACTGGCAAAGGATTTAACTGTCACCAACTGACAAGATGATGGGTTTTAACAAACCTGCTTAGAATTGTTCTCTACCTTCTGCACAAGGCTATCCCAGCGCTGGGCAAAATTTTCAAGACGACTTTCCAGCTTTTGAGCCACTGCTTTATTTTTCACAGCTACAAGAAGGTCTTGGCTGAGTGAATTCAGCTTACCCATCATTTGTCTTTTCATTTCGAGATCTCCTTTTAGGATCTGTTAAACAAAGTCACAGCAACAAGAACAGTAATTCATACAGAAAAACCTAGAAGGAAAACCCCAAAGAAAGCACCATAAAGAAATGAAAATGGGTAAGGATATTTCACACAAACTCCTCTACTTCCACACTGCTCTTATTGTAAAAACTGCTGGTGAAGCTGACATAGTGGAATGGACACATTGTACTTCGCAAAGCAATAAAACATGACAGGTGGAGCAATTTCAGACATCATAGCGTGCCTCAGGTTGAAATATAAATCAAAAAACTAAAGGCTGTGTGACTTCAGCAACCTTAAAGCTGCATTAATGTTAACAACAGTATCAACATTTCAAACAATGTTTCTTTAAAGTTTTGCTGTACTGTGCCCATATACCGAATATTAAAACTGATTCGGAAAAATAATAGGTTTCTAGAAAAATAATATTTCACCCTAAACCAGGATGAAAAAACAAAGCTCCTGAAAACCAAGAAAATAAGATGTTTAGTAAGAACCTTGAGAAGTCTGGGGAACCTTGGGAGCAGTTGGGCCTGGAAATTCCTGTTTCCAGCTGCTGCACCCTATGAGTCATCAGACCACTAGAAGGCAGAGATGTTCACAGAAAATGAGAAACCTTCAGTCCTTATGACTGTACTGGAGTAAACTGCCAAGGGATCGTGAAACTCCCGAAATCTTTACGAATCTCTCTGTGAAGCAGGTGGTTCACAGATTCAGGAGTCATCCATAGCTCCAGCTGCCACCTACAAATTCTTTCTTACTACCACTGCTGGCTTTACCTCATTGATTTTTGTCCCTTAAGCACTCATTCTCCATACACGTATCTATACTAACCAGGGCCAAATTTTGAAATCTTTATGCAACTGAGGACGGTAATCTAATCCTCAAAGCATTTTCTATAATTTTCAAGATGGATGATTACACAACAGTTATAGAAAATAGAATGTAGTCTACATACATTTTCCTGAAGCCTTATCATCCAAAACTGTGATCTAAAATACAGTTTAGTAAAAGGAAAAATTAATGCCCTTTTAACAAGTATTTTTCCCCACTAATTCCAGTACTTCTGATTCAAAACGTCATAAATACTGATGATAGAAACAATGAACATCAAAGTCTAAACTGACATCTCCCTAGCAAATAGCAGCTTGTAGCCTTCATATTTAAGAATCTGACATAGGAACAGATCTAACACAGAGAACAGACTAGGTGGAAAGCAATTTACCGCCTGAATTTCCACGGATTACTATATTTGACTTCTCCCTGGGGCCTACGGTGACAGAAAAAGGTGGCTGGAAAGCCAGTAACTAAAAACATCAAAAAAGGAGAATAAAATCATACCCTATGAAACATGATCATTGAATTCTTATCAGCAGTGTTTTATTTCCAGTCTCCACAGCTGTCAATGGCTTTACAGTGTACAAATTAGTTAAGCATCAAGCCCTGATATATAGAGCATAATTAGCAAATAAACCACTAGAAAGGGAAGGATGCTAACACTATGTACCTATCAATCAAAGCTATCGCTCAGGATTACCCAATATTCTTTTGGTAGCAACGGTTCACCTGTACAAAAATATACTGGAGAATTCTGTTTTCACATTTCTTTACTGAAAACCTGTCATTGTCCTACAATAGCCAATAATGTGTACTAGTTCTGATTTTTTTCTTGCGCAAGAACAGATCTAAATACTCTGGAAATAACAACAAAATACGCAATTTACCAGATTGCAAGGGAATCAACAGCATTCTAAGTATTAAGTAATTCAATCATAACTTTTATCAAATACATTTGTGTAATATTTACTTTATAGTAGTTCTTCCTTAATTCAGTTTTTAAAACCCTATATTCATTAAGTTATGGTGCTAGATCTTCTCTGGTTTGACATCTTCAAATATTTTAATTAAATTTCACAAAGAAAGGATATCAATGTGCTATAGAAAGGATATTAATGTGCTATATTACTACCACAGTATGAGCAAGTAAAATGTGTATAAACAAGATACAAAGCATGAGCTGGAGAATTGTAATACAGACACAGAAAAGTCATTATACATATTTAACCATGTTTTCAGAAGCTTATTCCAAATCCATGTGCAATGTGTCAACAGCAACATACAGTAAGGCACCAATATTCTGATGTTTGAACATTTTAAAGTGGTTTCCTCTCTCTGTTACTAATATGCTTCCACAAGCTTTTTTTTTTTTTGTTTTCAAGCTTGCACTTTAATTATTATTGTTTTTCTTTTCCGTAAACATCATCAAATTCATCCCTTGCTCATTGTAATAGTCTAATGAACAATATTGCTGTAAAATGGAAAAGTAATTGTTCGGCTGCTCAGAGATTTATTTCAAGACTCAGTGTTAATGTAGTATCTAGTTTGTTTCTTCTAGTAAGTGAAGAAATTTGCATTAAGTGAAGCAAGTGAGGACTTAACCCTATACTAAGGTAATATTAAATTTAAATATGTATATCTAGATCTTGTATACCTTTTTGTTACATCTCAGCCTGTTTTATGGAACATAAAAACACCATCACCTATATTTTACTGGTTGGAAAATTTAGGTGCAGGGCATCAGAATAATCAAGACCATGCCATAAATGGCAATAAAATTTCACTTTAGTCTGTCCACTTATGTTCTATACACTCAGTACATCATATCCTTCAGTTTAGTCCATGCTTTATGTCATCCTTTGCCTCATATAAGAATTCAGAGATAATGATGATAGTGAATAAGTGGGAGAGGGGAAACCAGTTATTTTAAGGAACTATTTTAGACCTGAAGCAAATACTCATCAGCATCACAAATGAAGAGAAGTCAATGGTAATGCATATGCAAAGAAGCAATGCCTAAACAGTTTTTCTGCCCTTTAGATTAATTAGGTCCCAGAAGACAGTTAATGACGAAGGAAATAAACCTTTACATACAAATACTGAACAAATCCTGTGAAAGAAACCATTTGTGATTATTTAGAAACATACAGTTCTGACAAATAGATATTGTGGGTACTGTACATAAAATAAGAAGAAATCAACTGACTTCATATCAGTTTTAATGCACAGTTAGAAACGAGTAAATTGCTATATTAACTAAAAATATATTTCCAATCACCCACTCATTTCAACTGGGAAAAAATAACAATGAAACTTCAGTGATAAAAGTGAAGGAAGAGGAGGGACAACACCATAACGTTTAGGATATCCTGAATCTTTCCTCTGTTAAATGGATTTTGAGACTCTGGCTCCCACTACTCAGAATGTATCCCAGTCTCCATATGTTAGGGTATTCTGCTGTCAAACTGAAGAATAACACTTAATTTACAGTTTTAGTAAAAATAAGTTTAACTTGCCTCCTCGTCCCAGTTTGGCAGAACCGTGTCTGAGAATAAACCTACAAAGAACTATTATTTGTTACTAATGGTAAGCCTGTCGTCGAATTATTAGCATGAATCAAATTTTGGGGAAACACATGCTTGTTTATACTAAGTCAAATAAATGATCGGAATTTGGGCCATTAAATACATGATCGGAATTTAGGCTGCAAAAATCTCCCATCACAAAACCGCTAAAAGAAGAATCCATGTGTAGAGATTTTGATTCAGAATCAATCCCTTTCCTTCCACTTACTCAAAATCTTTATTAAAGTCTGCAAACATATCCATACTGAATATCAATTTGGGGAGTGCTGGTAAACGAAAATTTACTTTAAGGAATAATAGTCCTCACTTTCAATGGCCTTAACTAGAAGTATATTTCCTACCACTTGAGAAACACAAGATAAAATTACTGTGAAGAAGAAAACACTCCTGTATTTCCATGTTAGCAAACAGTACAAAACAAACAAAAAATTATTTAAGGTACTGTAGAAGGCTTAGGATCCTTCAGGAGGGTTGCTGAATTTCAAATGAACAGTTATAATGCCAAATGGTTTAACTAAATATTGTGAGAAATTGCCTCAGGCTTAAGAGATTCAAATCTAGCTAAAGAACATGACCTTAATTTTGCTGGGTTGTGAATATAAGAAAAAGAGGCTGCAGGGTCTCCTACCACATAGTGATACCAAAACTGAAATTCTCATGATCTAAAATATGAGGTTTGTTCTAACTGAACTTCTTTTTGAAAGGAGGAATTAATACTGTAATTTGTTGCTGGAAATGATTAGAGAGCAGAGGGACTGAGCTACCGTACTGCTGACAATGTAAACTTTTCTTTTGTATTAGTAAGAGTAAGAATTATAAAAAAGAAAAAAGGTCAATAGTGGAAGAACATGTTCCCTGGTAAGAAATGTTACGTGGATAATGCATTAATACAAAATTCCTGCGACTCAGAGAAGACCAAAATAGTAAATCTTCCTCTACCAAAACTCTGACTATTTGCTATTGTGTGTAGGTAAAATGTGTACTCACTAGAATTTGGAGAAAACTGCTGCTGTGTTTAGGCACCAATAGAAAATATCTTTCTGCTACAAATCATAGAGACTAAACAGGCTGTATTTTTTCCAGCATACCACCAGCATTTAAATAGCTAAACCATTACTTTATGGATCAGCTGTTTCTAAAAATACTAGAAGTTCTTCACCTGCAAAAAAGAAGATTAAGTTGCTATTAAAAAAACCCAACTGTTCCGTCCAGGATGACATGATCCTTGTCGAGGCTCAGGGGGATGGAGGAATCACTTTATTTATTATCGTGTTCAGACATTTAGTTTCATGAAAGAATGGCAATGCTTTACTTAGAGCAACACTTAACAGTTTAAGCAGATACTAGCATTAAATGTGTGTATTTATTTCATTAACCAAATTTATGAAAATACTACTAGAGTATCTGCTTCTTGACATCGTATTAGTTCTGAAAGGGACCCAAACTGGTCTTATCCATAATACTTTCAAACATTTAATACCCTGCTACTTCACAGTTTGCGATGTTTCAATCCCCACTTCGTATCTTGCCATATTCTAAACGCATTAAATAATTGAATAAATCTGAATTTCTTTCCAAAAATTTCTCTTCATGCAGGGTCTAAAACATCCTGTATTGCCTCTAGTTAATTACTCATTAATAAAAGAATTCAGTTCAAACTTGCTTAGTGGTTAAATTACTAGAATTTGGAAGAAGCGTATAAACTGAGACAACTGGCTATATGTAGAATTCCTTTGCTTTACATAAATGCTGGCTTAATCCTAAGTACAATTTAATCAAAACTAACGTCTGCACTTCTAAAGATGCTGTTTTATTAGCCCAGTAATAGTTATAGAGTTGAAAAGAATAAAAAAAGTGGTGAGAGAGAGCACATAATTACACTGACAATCACAATTTTGTGTCTTAAATTTTGACAAATTTCAAAAAATATTAACTTAGTCATTGTATGAATTAATAGGGACATTTTTCACTGATTCTGAACTAGCTCTAAGATATTTATGAACTAAAAAAATGCTCTAAGAATTTTTTATTTTGTTTAAAAAACAAAGAAAATTTATACATTTGTGTATGTGAGAGTAAAATACACGAATCTTAAAAACCTCAGAGAATTACTTAGAATTCAGTAACATCATTGGATTTTCATAGACCAAAAGCCCAAATGTTTCTATTTTTAGTTTAGGCAGATAATGAGAATGATGTTGATTTTAAAATGTTTTTTAAAATCTAAATTTGATCCTATTGTATAACCACATAGTTTGTAATAACTTTAAAATAGTTCATGCCTGAAAATTCTAGCATGTGAACTGCAAAACCAAGTTTTGCAATTATGTCTAGGATGCTCTTTTTTCTATTTGACAAAATAAATAGTAATGACTCTTTAAACAGAAGATTACCACTGAAGTTTCTATTTACTGTAATGACAATTTACCTACTTCAGTGTAAGCATGGAGATAAATGTTTCCTCTCCTTCAAGTGCATAAAAAGTCATATTGTATATGGGTACAGTTGAGGTATTGCTGTGAATTAATATTAATTAAAGTATTTCACAACTTTTGAGTCTTTACGTTTCTCACATTTAAGGAGCGTTTATCAAGTTTTACTGTATGATCAGTACTTATTCATACGTGTGTATTCATATGTGTATATGTCCCTGCACATACACATACTACTCAGCCATGCACATGTGTACATCAATAACATCAGAAAATAAACTTTCAATATAAAAGAAGTCTTCTTAAGGCATACATGCCACTTCAGTTCACAAACTTTTGACTGAAGAGACAGGCAAAGAAAAAATCTATACCTCTGTTGCTTGATCAGCAAGACCGTGGACCAAACAATTTCATGCCTTTGAGATAACATCCATTCCCAGAAATATGAAAATCTGTTCTGTTAAACAATACTGTTTGAGAGTAGGATAAAACTAGCTGCATTCAGACTCATGCATAGGAAATCTAAACATAAAAGAGGACAACGAAAAATACATACAGCTAATTTACGTAGACTGGTCAGCATTTCATTTTGATCTTTAAAGCCAGTTGTATGAATTTTGCTCACAGCATCCTCTTTCTCAGTAAGCCATGCATCAAAAAGGCACTGAAAGAAAATTGGAGAGAATGAACAGAATGAAAAGGCTTCACTCAGGCCATTCCTAGTTCAATTTTTTGAACAACATTCCAATTTATAACTGCTAACACTACTCACCTGCTCTTCTGCAAAATGCTGCCATTTACGAAGAATATCTTGCAGAAGAACCCATCGATCTTCTGTCCATCTGCAGATGGCAGCCCACCGGTCTCCAAAGTGCTAGCAAGAAAGAAACTCACAATATATATCTGCATTTGTTTATGTTTTTTAAAATAAGGCCATCAGATTTTCTTATGGTATTACTAATTTCTGGGAAAACACCTTCACAACTCCTTTTTTACATTCTTAAGTCCTTAAAATATGTTGCATGTCACACTGAAGTGGACATCATCACTATTTGAGAAAAGACAGAAATGGAGAGAATAGGAAAAGCAATAGAGCCGAAAAGGGAGAGAGAATTTTAATATTAATCTATAGAAATATTATTCTATTAAGTCTTTGTCAATATGTGTTGAAGAAAAAAACAATTCCAAAACTTTATGATGCCCAAAAACATAACTACTTGAAATGTAATTAGATCACCTAAAGATTTGATCATAGCAATAAAGCTTCCAGTTCTAAAGCAGCACTGTCAACTAAGTTATCTAAATTCTTTTCTCTTTTACAATGTTGCAGTGAGTTATTTTTTATAACAGAGATATACGTAAGCATACATATATATATACACACACATACAGACACAGAGGAGGATTTGGAGTTGGAGGAAATGTACAGTTATCTACATGACCAAATAACAAACTACATATTATTAATTTTAAAAACACTATTAGTAAATAATAAACTAACTGTATGGGAAGGATGATAATACATTTGAAATAGACAGAAGTGCTTATGTAACTGGAATCAGATTTGATCTTTTCTTTTTTATTCACTTCCCAAATAGTGGTTAGAGAATATAAATGTTTTTTTTTTCTCCAAACTCTTTTTAAGAAGAACATCTTAAACATTCTCTGCTAGAATATGAATTAAATAGAACGGTATTTAAGATATACCCACTCCATACAATGCAGCATCATTTTAGATACTTGAAGCTAGAATGTCTACAAAGTTCAGTGCGGTGTGGAGCAATTGACTCCGTCCTAGAAACAGTAAAGCTACCCGGAAAATGCTCCTATTATACCACTAACTGTGTGATTCAGCACAGTCCCATATTGATACATACTTACCACAGAGATCTGTAGGTAATCTTTAACCACTCACAGACCAAGTAATCACATTTAATGAATGTCCTGGTCACTGGTATGCAACCATCATTTTCCTTGATAGCTATGATTGCAATAGCAACAGACACTCCAATAGGTGTTCTGTCAAGTATGTTTTCACTTTATCTCTTCATATATATCAGCATATTGTGCTTGAGCGCTAAAATAGAAGCTATGCACTGTGCTGCAGCAAATTCTTCACAGACTAAACATCAAACTTAGTTCTTTATTTGTATGGGTTTCTTTATATTGCAGACTTTTATTATATTGCATTCTTTTGATGTTTTATAGATAAAGCAGGAAATCATTTATTTATAAAAAGGACTTTTTAAAAAAGATCACATACCTGAGTAATTTTTACAGAGCTCGTATATGGGCAGCACATTTTTTATGTTTTGTAACAGTAAACTGTAATCAGTTTTGTAAAGAATAAGAAATAGTTTGCTCTTAGCATCTACAGTATCATTTCCAGTATTGCTATGATCTACCTTGAAAAGTACTTTTTGCTCATCTAGAAAACACTAAAAACTCAAGAGCACAAGATCAAATATCTGCCTTTGCCTTTACTCCAAAAAACCCACTGATTTGCATTCTCAAAAAGTTTTGCTAAGTCAATACAAGCCTCCTTTTTGATGATATGATTCCAAAAAGGTACAAAACCTACTCTGTTTTTGTCTCAATAAGAAATTTTTATATATACAAAACAAGTAAAATGGCTAAGTAACTATACTGATAAAAGGGCTGATACTGTGATCTGCCTTAAACCTGTTATTTCTCATGAGATCATAACAAACGTGAAAACAAGATGTATTGTGTGGTTAAATCAATTTAAGACACAGTTTCAGATCAGAAATATCGTGAAAAAGCTCTTTACTTAGAAGGTGGGTATTGTCTACTAAATCATATGGTGCTTAATTCCTTCAGTTTCTTCACAACAAATGTTATTTCACCCTGTAAGCAGCCTGAGCCATGTCTGAGAACTCTGACTACACCAAGTACTTTGTTAATAATGTCAGGGAAATCAAATCTCCCGAGAAATTAATTGAAAAAATCAAAATATCTTCTTGCTCCCTTGAAATGCATTTTATAGTCCTAGCTGGAATTTTTAGAGAAATTTGCTGTTAAAAAATCCTTTTTTGTTTTAAATGAGAGGCCTCTGAAAGAATGTTCTTTATGAATACAAAAAGCTGAAACTAAAACGTTTCTCGATTGCAAAAGGTCAAATTAAGAAAGCGTAGGAATAGGATAAAATGAATAAAAACAATACATCTTTTGGGAGCGGTGGAGTGAACATATAAAAAGTGAAATATCAAGCCTCAAGTCTACAACTAATAAAAAAAATTATTTGAAAGGTACTTCTTTATTAAAGTAAGGCTAAGCACCCCTTACACTAATGAGGAATGGTGGAAATACGTTTTTCTCTATATGTAAAATCAATTAAAAAGAAAAGAAATATTCACTAGGTTCTCAGAGTTTCTCCTGTGCTGCAATAAGAAGAGTGTGCAGGGTTTTTTTTTTAAACTTTCTTCAATTATTTTGACATATTTTTACAAGAACGACCCATACATCTCCGTCAATCAAAAGATAATACCCTGAATAATATGAATACACATGGAACAGTGAGAATTACACTCTCAGCAACGTTCCCTCAGCAGGGGGAAGGGCCACCGAAAAGCATTTGGTACAGCTAAGACAGACCTGTTTCCAGCCCAGATCCCTGAAGCCTGGGGAGGGCGCTAATTTGAACGAGCCTGCAGGAGTCCTTCAGGGACTTACTGTCTGCTGGGCGTAACTAGAGTAAAAATTCCCTGCCTTTCCTGGCTTCCTTATGGTATTCAGGGATTTCTCCGGGCTAAATGTAATTTCCCATACTTTACTGAGAAAAGAGTCAGAACGCAGCAGCTGTTTTGCTGGTTCAGTCCTCTGGTTTAACAGCACTAAATACAGATTTAAGTCTTAATCCACAGCTGCATTTTTGATAAGTCTCTGGAATGCGTCTAATGGGGTCTGGTTGTTACACGTCTAAATAGCCAGTTCACAGCGGCAGCATAAACACAGAGCCTCACAAAATTTCACACACTATTATATCAAGTAGATATAATAAATAATAAAGTAGATGACTGAATATTTACACTCACCTAGGCTAGCTGTAATCTCTCAAACTACCTACTGTCTATAAGAAGCACTTTAATTATGTTTACTTTTTTATTATGTTTAATTATGTTTACTTATTCTTCCAAGTAATGTTAACATATCTATGGATAATTTGTTTCAGGGGACATTTTTGCTTTCTATACTATTAACTGTCTCTTAAATAAGACTCATCCTTTGTTTCGGCATATGGAATAAATCTTAACATCTTAGGCAATGTTAATTTGAAGCCAGTATAAACTCTTGTCAGTCTTTTAAGGCTTGTTAAATGTGTAAATATCCTTTATATAGCTTTTAACATTGTTTTATACATACATACTCATTTATTTGTTTCCGTCTATAAAATAGTTTAGGAAACATCTTCTATTTAATCCCTCAAAAAAAAAATCTGTTCTTGTTACCGTGAAGATTCCACATAACTGAACTACAGCAGCTTGGAAAATGCAGTCTTGGCAACTCTAGAGCAAGAGCTGTTCACCTGCTACAAAAAATTTAATTCTGATCAATACCTCACTTAGGCAGCCTTAAGAAGCCTTTGTGTAACAATGCACACTTCTTTTGTTTTTCTCGACTTCAAAAAAAATCACGCTGACAGATGCATAATCAAGCTTCAGACTTTGCTCCACTGTGCTTTCCTGTCAAATGCTCTGATGAGCATGCCTGCCAGCATATCACCTCTCATGTACTTATATTCAATTTGCAAATACCACATGAAATTCCCCCTTCTCCCGCCCCAAATCCAAATCACCATCTCATACACTTAGGAAAGGAGAGAGAATATTTGGTAAGGACAGAAAACGCACTGTGGTAACAGTCCTCCTGTGCAGAAGGTGCGAAAGTTTGCACACCTCCCCCGGTAACACCTTAAGGCCCATAGCTTTACGTATGTACTTTGCTTTTATTAACACTAACAGTATGGCATGTTTTATCCCAGTAGCACGTGCTTCTCCACTAGTACAGCTACAAATGAAATACTTCCACTGCGTTCCATTTACACACGTCTTTTTCTATACATTTCTTTATTGAGGTAAACTTACCATAGCAATGTCTGAATTCTATCTAATTAAATTGTTAATGTTTGAGCTTTTCAGTTAATAGCCCAGTGTAGGTGCTCATAAAATACTGGCTTAGACATATATGCCCAAATTAAAACTATTAAAAGCCCTATTTGCTTGATGATTCACTCATTCTACTGATGCTTAAATTGACCACCTCATTTTGAGTTTCATGTGTGTTTTTTGCTGGATATTAAATTTGAGTTTTGCTTCAGGTACTTTTTCTGTAGGACTTTGGATTCTATCTTATAACTGTAACGCTAGAATGTTTCCCACTGCCCATCCATTTGGATTGCCTGGCTTTCTTTTCATAGCTAATTTAAAAATCGTCGGTTCTGCCTCTTGTGGTAGAGAATGTGTTATTTATTTTCGATCTTAGTCGTGATCTGTTATCTTACTGGAGAACATATGATTTTGTCAAACTGTGAAATTAGATTAAACATGTCCAATAATTCACAGTCCTTTCGACTTTTTTTTCCCACACTGTTAAAAAAAGTCTCAGTTTACATATTCTAATTTGTGTAGTGCAGTAAACATCTAATATCTTTAATTTTTTTTGTCATACTTTATCATAGTCCTCCCTTCTGGAACCTACTGTTTGCCATCATAGAATAACATCCCGGTTAAACCTCCTCCCATTCATTTTCATATTTTGTTTCCGTTGTTTACTCTTCCAGTCAGGTATTTTCCTAGTTTACTTTAACTTCTGGAACTATCTGTTTGCAAGGGATCTGCTTTATACTACTGAATACAATACAAGCACTTGGCAAGAAAGTCTGGAAGATCATTGTGACTAGGCATACCAAGATTCACATAACTAGATACTGAAGATGAATTTAAACGAGAAGTAATAATTCATGGATCAGAGAATGCTGCTTTGTTTCCCTGCCTGAGCTGTGCTCCTCAAATTATTAAGCATTTTCAGCAAAGCATTCAGTAAAGTATTTTTGAAGTGTCAGTTCTCAGCATCTTAGCAAACGTGCGCTACCTATTCTAAATCCCAGACTCATTACTAATTTGCTGCTATTGGTACCTAAATTAGCCAGATTAAAGATAGCAGCACACAGATGTCTGTCTGTGCTATTATTATACCTCCCAGTTGAATGTATTGATAGCTTCTCTACAGAAATCTTGGGCTTTAATGATTAAAAAAACCAGAAATATTATCACTTTCTTGGTCAGTAAAACTAAAATGAAGGAAACTACTTTCTCCTTTCTGAAGGAGAAGAGCAGAAGGAATCGTAGTTCTAATACTAATGTACTTCTTGAACCGTGATCCTGGAGAACTGACTGTCAGTGCAGGATTATCCTTTGTCCTGATTTCAGCCAATATGTCCCAATACAAATATGTCCCACACATATCAAAAGCATAATTTAAAATGAACATGCCTTTAAATACTTGCGAGTGGATGATGACATTTTGTTACTGTAACACCAAAATGTACCACATGCAAGAGTTTCTCATCAGAAGAAAAAATTTCTTGCTCTTAAATAAACTTGCACTCTGCATAAAAATGTAGGTTCTTGCATGCAATATCCTTCTCCTTGACTACAACAGGGAATCACATTACTTCTGTCAGGAGTAATGAAATAAAAGTCATGAAATAATAGACAAACTCTTTTTGTTGTCTTGAATACAGATAAAATAGGTTAATATAAAAAGAGTCATAACAATGAAGGAAGGGCCTCTCAGATATTTTAAAACTACTTCCTTCTTATTTATGTTTAATTTTACTCTCAAAGCTTTTAATGCTTGCCTATCTTTAGTGTGCATTACATAAAGCAGATGTTAACTACTTCCGTGTATCCCTAAAAACTGTATATGACCATGTTTCCTTAAATTTGTTATATACTTCCTTCCATCATCAGAAAGTGGACAGCAGGTGAGTACAGCTTTAACAGGAATTAAAGTAGTCCTTAAGTTTTTTTTTTTTTTTAAATCAAGCAAATCAGGCAATGATAATATTGATCCATCTGTAAAAATCATCAATTTCATGCTAGCTATATTTAGCACAATATGAATTCAGATTATCCTACTCCTCCAGGAGGTAGAACAACATCTATAGAAGACTTGGGGAAAAAAAATTAAAATTTTACAGAATATTTAATTTCAGGGAATAAAAATAACCAAGGAAAAGGTGAAAATGACCACTAAATTTCATTTAGAATGTCCAATGATATTAAGGAATACAACCATATTTCTCTTTAAATTAGAACGCATACTACTTTGGCTGCAATAATCAGCATCCTTGTATTTGCTGCAGGGAAGATGCTGCAAATAACCCAGGCCAAACTGACGATATTATAGCTTTTAATTTCCAATTATGAAAATGTATTTCCTTTATATATTTCTATAAAAATTGTTTCCTACCAATATAAAGGTTGTTCAACATGCCTTAAACTGTCTCATGCCTTCCTGCAGTAATAAGGAAAGATACAACTTATTTTCTCCTATATTCAGAAATTTAATAAACATAAACAGTTTTTTCATTGTGTTTTTGGCAATAAGGCTGCTCTTTTTTTCCCTCTACTAAAATTATGAATATTTTGCACAACAAAATAAGTTAACCAGTTTCTCATTGTAACGCAGTTGCAGAAGGCTTAACCCCTGCCACAATTCCTGCACTTAGTTTTTCTATTGGCTTATGTCTCTAAATCGGAAATATTTAGGCATCCAAGATACGGCTAGAATAGTAGGGACAAGTTTTCCAGCTTCAGGGTTTGTGTGTGTTTAAAACCAGTTTCCTAACTACATGTTGAAAGGAAACTCAGTAATGGATTTCCCCTTGTCCATTCACAGATGATCTGATCAGATCCTTTGTCTGGATGACTGCAAGACTAAGACTGCTGGGTTCATCAAACCATAGATGGAATCTTAAAATCCTAGTTAAACATTAAGGAAGCTGAATATACTACTTGATAACCAGCTGAAAAGTGTCATGTAGCCTTAGCATCAGGTTGTGACTGGCCCTGTCTAAACGCAGTAAGACCCTTCTAAGTAGAGCCAGCAGAAAGAGTTTTGTGGATGAGCCATTCGTTTTGGGATGGTATTTTTTATATTCATGGAAAGATTTTAATTGTATCATATGGTTTAAAACTAGATTTCTGTCATTCTTGTTGGATTGCTTCTGCTTTTGATCCCTCCTATACTACCTAGTCTCAAAAACATTCCAGAAGGTAGTTGTTTAGAAGTCACTAATATATTAAGCTGGAAACTTACCACTGTGAAAAACAACCAACTTTTTACTTTTTCATTTTTTGATTGCTAATCTTGAGCACATTCCTTACATTCATTGGCTTTCAGAGCCATGCAGAACCTGCAGTACAACCCCCTTGTTTCATAACATCAGGCAGCCTTTGGGCAAGCTGCTGTTGCATCCACCCATCAATTACAGGATGATATATAAGGAACACATCACACATTTATTGGCCAACATTAGCAGAAAACAGGAGAAAATTTGCCTTGAAAGGTCAGATTGACCAAGACTGGCCAAATTCAGAGGCTTGTTTTGGTACTACTTCACACCTAATTGGATGGCTGATATCCTCCAACCTGTGATGAACATGGTTGAAACTCTGTGAATATGTAGTAGGTAGAATTCATTTCTCAAAATTCTATTGTAGAAATGAGAATTGTGGACAAAGAGAAGGAAGAGTTAGCATAAAGCTGCTACAAAATGACTGCAAGCAAAATTGACTGAGGAGTGAAAGGGGTAAGATTTTCAAATGTGATTTATTCCCAGACCACTTTTGACAATTTTTACTGATAGAAACAAAGGAAATGTAATATTGCATCAGTCCAGACCAGCAGTTTATTGGTCAAACAAGCAAAAACATTGTAAAGTATCTCCTTTGCTCAGGAATATATACTGTGGTCACATTTTGACATACATCAGATATCACATCTATAAATTCATACAAAAGTATGAATGTGAGGAAACAGATAAAGAGTTTGAAATAATTTCCTGTACAGGTATTTCAGTATAGCTATATGTAGAGTAACTCCAAAGTCTCCAAAAATTTCAAACATGTTGTAAGAGAGAGCAGAGTAAGATTTTCTGTACTGTCAGAAAGCACTTATTCTCACAGCAGTTTAGTAAGGAAATGTAACTCTTGCTCGCTTGTTTCCTAAAGACAAGCACTATTTTAAATAAATGATTTTTTTTTCTGCCAAAGTATGTGCATTTATCCAGCTACATAAAAGTCATGTCCTACAAAAATGTTTCAGCTCATACTCTGAAATATCTCCTGAAATATACCCAATATTGCTAATAATTCTTATTCAACCTTATTAACACTTAATGCAACTGCTTATTCTCTGAAAGACAGAAGTTCAAATGTTACCTGAAGCTGCTCTTCCAGTGCAGCGGTAGCTTTGTCTCCACTGTTTTCATCCACCACCACTACCATGTGGGTAAGAGAATTCACCTGGACTTGTTCCTGTTCCAAATCTTCTTGAAATGCCTACAATTAAAAAATACACATATTAGAAAATGTATTCCAAACTACAAAAACACTGTTTGTTTGAAGTCTCAGTGACTGATCAATGGGAAAAACTAACCACCTATGAGAGCGTTATAATCCCTACTGATGTGAATGATAAGCAATGTAAGCATATTTTGTTGCATTCGCATATATATGTGAACATAAGTATATTTCGCAGACTTCCATTACTTTCAAGAAAATTATCCACTATTACTCACTTACAACTCCTAATTCTTCATACAAATTTCATACTAAAAATCTGGGTTGAGAAAACATTTGTGGAGTTGAAGCAGCTGATAATTTACAGATATCAGTATAGCATGTGTACTCTAGCCTGTACTTCTAAAATAGAACTGGCTTAGTTTTTATACTTCGTATTACCATATTAAAATATTTTAATATTGCAAAGGTTAAAAAATGTTAAAAATGACATACTCTCATTAAACAGCCACACATTATCTTCTCTCTGGTAACATAGGATGAAACTGCTCAGAAGACGACTCAAGGTAAGGAAATACCTGCAGCACCCTTGTCTCATTTATTGCAGAAACTAGGAAACAAACTGAGAGGTATTTTATGATTTCTGAATGTCTAAGAAAGAACCTCCTTCCCCTTTAAGCTTTGGTAGCCAGTTCCAGCTGGAAGCTGCAATGAAACTGAGGACAAACTTTTGTTGAGAAATAATAACCTGCTAGAAGTGAAAACACTTTTTTCAAACCTGCACAAATTGATATTTGAACAGTTCCTAACTTTACCAAATGTATGCGAGTCTTCACAGAAATTGCAAGAATGCACCTCTCTGACCCTCCCACACTTCTCCAAACTTGATCTAATCAATTGTTGCCCTCCTTCATCACAGCACAGAGAGAAGGGCTGCGGGCAGCCTGATACCCATCCACTCTCTTCAGGTTACAACTGACAGCATTTTTCCTCTACACTTCACCTACATCACAAAACAAAAAAAGAAAAAAAAAAAGAATTAAGGTACCGTAACACCTTAGAGACATCTCCTTGGTGGTTTTCAGTACCTCCTCTTTACTTTTTCCCCCTTCACTTGACGTGAAAGAGTGAAAACCTACGTTGCTAGAGTTCGCTAACCAAAACAAAACCAGACCAGCCCCATCACCTTTTCGTTACCTATCTCCAGCTTTATTTTAGTGTATTAACATGTTAAACTTCTAATATTTATCTGCTGTTTTGTGAAAATTTACTGTCTTGTTCTGTTTCTTAAAAAAATTCTTGAAATGCTCCCCTCCCCCTCTCCAAAACTATACACACAAAACAATATATCCAGGGTCATATCCTGCCTGACACTGCTAGACAGCGGTAGAATGTGTGGAACCAAAGTCCTGGATTGTATCCTCAAAACTTCAGTAGAGCGTGCTCTAGTGATTAGTGCAAATAGAGTACGACAGGCACAGTCTGAAAAATAACATGTCTAACTGCATACGCCTTGTCACAGCGGAAATCTTGACTGTATTACAAACTATGTTAATTTCACCAATTTTGCAATTTTTCTGCAGGTTCTTCAAAGCTAAGAATTCACTTAGGTAGAAAGAAGGTATCTTCCCTGAGGATTAGACAGGCATGTTAAATTTGTTTAGTAAGGCATCTTACTTTTATCTAAAATAATGTATAACAAAACAAAGTAGAATGTGGCTACGGGCCACAGAAAAGGAACTCATTGACTCTAGTATGTTTTTTAGTCATAAATTCCTTACCCTAACACGTTTCAGAGTTTTAATTCCTTTGCAGGCATAGCCTTTGAGCCCATATGCTCATAAGAGTCCTCCTTTTTCTGACTTTCATACCTGGGATTGCTGTCTGCTTCAGAGAGTTAAGACTGAAGGACTGTGAAGCGTGGCAGATTATGACAACAATCCCTGGAATTCAGATTTCTCAGCTTTTTAAGACCCAACACTTGATCAAGGAAGAGGGGGTAGAGTACTCCTGAACCAGATCACGTAACACAATTTGCGTTCCCCCTAGGTCAAATCCCTTATTTCAGCCTTATGACAATAAGTAGATTGCTTCATAAGTCTACAGCTAAGGAGAAGGTGACTTATTTCCTGATTAGTGGGTATCTAACAGATGGTATACTGCAGCAAAACCAGAGGATGAGTGATGCTCTGCAAATGCAGCAGTAGAGGGCACTTTGGAAGTGTGAGTCTCGCCCACAGTGTGGAAGACTTGAAGAGCCAAGAAACTCAGGAAAGCAGAAAATCTAGCCATTTTCTGATCCCCAGACAGATACAATTCTCCCTGAGCTAAAGTGGCTGTTCTTTAAACTCAAAGCTGGGAATTTGTTTCTACCATGAAACTCACTAGAGACAATCATTTGTATATGGGAGGTTGTTGAAACAGGAATTTACTGAGGGTAGTCTTAAGACTGGAGCATGCTGCATTCGTACCATTTAAATTCAAGTTTCTAACAAGCTCTCCTGAGCCTGCCCGTAGAGAGAGCAATTTTTCAGAGACTTAAAATGTGGGTAGATGCTGAGGGATGGGACAGCGTCAACAACAACAAACCCCATAGTTCCTCTAATTCCAAATCAGAAAGTGACCACAACACTGCTAATAACCAGAGCAAACATTCGTTTGAATATGCATGTTAACATAAAGAAGAGTCATCCGGCAGCAGTAGAGTTTCTACCTTTTTTGACAAAATTTTTTTGCCTAAGAACCTATCAATCCCTTATACCGAAATAAAGAACGCAAAACAAGAAATTTACAGAAATATACACATGCTTATAAATACTTAAATGTAGTTGTCTGTGTATAAGCTCTGCCAGAAGGAGACTGACTTCCCTTTCCCACAGCTGGTTGCTACAGACATTTTAGAGACTACTGGGATTTAATGTCACAGACTGGAGATGCTACAGACATTTTAGAGACTACTGGGATTTAATGTCACAGACTGGAGAGAGGACCTCCCCCCCCACCCCAAAAGGACCATTACAGATATCTTTTGTGAATGTGCTGCTCCATGCAACTGATGTTCAAACATATGAAAATTAGTATGGGGCCCAGAAGCTCAAAATGCTATACAGGCACCAATATTTACAAATATCTACATTTGAGATAGTTAATTAGAAGAGCTTTAAAATATTGTTAATTACACAGTCCACATAGACTGAAAGGGAGAGTATCCTACATTTAGGAGTGAATCAGCCAAACATACCGAAATACAAACTGCTGATTTTTCCTATTTTAGGGGCTCTGTGGATTAAGAGATAGCAGCAGATATTACATTATTTTGATTTTAGAGCCATATGTCAGGTGCCAATCATGTACCACAGACACAAAAAACTTATCACAGAATGGTCTCTCTTCAGCATGAGATAAGACTTTATTTAACGAAGAAAAGTAACAACACCTAACAAACAAAATATAGCTAGTAATTGAGCTTCCAAGGATACAAAGAGTACCATATACAATAAAAAGTCCTGAAGTCCTATTGATGTGTGATCTTTCTCAGGAAGGACTATTCCATTTCTCAGATAGTCACTGCCAGTAATAGTTTTGCCACTGCTATGATCATACCTATTAATATCCTAAACATTTAAAATCAACTTGAATTTAAAGGATATCATAGAGACATTCTTCAAAGAGCAGCAATTCTCTTCTACCTAGCAGCTCTTAGATCACAGCTGAACGAGGATTTCTGTTTTAGTAACGAGAATGCAAATTATGTGATTCCCAGATAATCTAGTTGAAAGTGAAAAAAAAAAATTCCTAAGGTATCCAAGTAACCAAAGAAAAATCCATCTACGATATTTGAACAGGTAAGAAGTTTCTCATTTTATCTATCTCCTCAGTTTATTTGAAGTACCACCAAAACATCACAATGAAAACTTGCCAAATTTTCCAACGGTATCTTAAAAAAAAAAAGCTTTTCAGAAAAAGTACAAATACCTACACAGCTTAGATAGTTTTAAACAGTTTAAAGTTAATGAAAGCTATAAATTATAATAACTATAAATTGTAAAATAATGTGTAATAATAAAATGTGTACTAACAACTATTGTATACAGTGTATACAACTATCAGTTGCATTAGAAGCACATTTTTGCTTAATGACAAAATTTCTATCTTTGCTGGTCTATTTAATTTGAAATAATCACTGCCTTCCTATCTTTTAACTTGTGGTTGCTCCCAGCAACTGCTACAATATTAACATTGAGATGTTCAGAGCTATGTGAGACTTTAAGAAAGGCTGAGGGTGGTGGTGTTTTTTGCTTTTTTTGTTTGCTTATTTACTTCACGCTGACATGAAGCAAAAATTGTGTAATTAACATTCCAGGATTTTTGTCTTCACAGTAGGTAGCTTTGCAGGCATATAATATGTAATAAAATTATCTAAAACTTTCATGCCGTATTTGAAATATTTGCAAACATCTTGGTCTTCACTTACGAATAAGACAGGCTACACATAGACAGAATTTTATTTTATTTTTTTCACAAAACTAAAACATCTCTTGGTAGAGCAGATAGACAGACTTGAAAAGTAGTATGCATAAATAAATAATATTGACTAACCTATCACACTAGAAATGTGGAACTAGTATGTAGAAGAGAGAGCTTTCTAATATTTTCTATATGTTTCTGTATTATTTTCAAAAAGAAATGAAAATAGTACATTTTATGTTGGTATTCAAATACAAAATGCGTGGAAAGAGGAAGAAAACTATTGAAGTCTTAGTAGTGATGTATTCAAAATCTCTCGTTTCCTTCTCTAATTACCATTTGATAATTACTTGTGTTTTTTTTAAAGAAAATTTAATGTCAGGCTATATGCTTAATTAGCAAATCCACATAGTGAAATCCATTGGCTCCTCACAGAAAAACAGCCTAGAATTCTAGGCAGCAACAGGCATAAAATTTCTATTCTTCTTCTGCAGCACTCCTTAATAAGAATGCAGAAAAATCACATTTAAGATAGACGTGGATCATGCAGTCTCTCGCAGTTTATGACCTCTCTTTTGACAGGACTGCAAAAGCTGGTATCAGTTTGAAATGGTTTTCAGGGAAGATCTGCCCTCTAGAACCGGGACTAGCACTGACACAGGCCATGAAGCATCAAATGTTAAGATCTCTCAGACAATACAGAACTGAACTACTTTGAACCACTGATGTAGAAACATTAATAGATTATGACTGGAGATCTCCACAACCTCACAAATTTTCTGTGCTTTCTATACTTGCCTATGTCTTGCTAACATCATCATCATGTGTGTCATGGATAGATACACAAGTTTATATAATTTATATATCAAATGCTGCACATAGATAAACATGCATATGCAGATATAATTAGGGAAAAAGGCTCGTTTTAAAATTGAAATTAACTGAAATTAATATGAAGACAGATAATTTAATCTAGTAGATGAAACAAGTCAGAATTACACAGACAATCTTTAAAAAAAAAAACTTAATTCTTCCAATTTAAGGAACACTTGCCCTCCTAGAATGAGGAAAATTTTGGGCAAAATATCTCTCACTCTGCTATTATCGGTTTGTTATTTTTCATTAATTAAATGCAGTACTAAAAATATGTTCTAAAGATAAAGACTTGAGTCTGACTATGCTACAGTGCTGTAGCGTTACATATTTGGAGTTCCAGGAGTCCTAACAAGATTAGGTAGCTCAATAATAACAGCGAGGGAATCACTGCTATTACAACACACAAGGAAAAAAAGGCAATATGCAAAAGGAAGAAAACGTTGGAATTATAATATCTGATATATTCCCATCTGTACTGTGTAAAAAATATAGTATCCTATATTCCTAATACTCAGACAACCTTTATTCTAGTAAAATGTTAATATGTAAAAAGGAAGCAAAGAAAATTTATTTTTTATATCAGGAAAAAAGCCAGAATTGTGATACAATTGCTATACATAACCCTGTTAATTGTACAAAACAATCATTGGTAAATCAAATTTTCATATTACTGTGCTCTGTTCTAATGTCAAGGGTAGACCTTTTAAATTGTCCAAAATTCATTTTTTTAAAGTTTGTTTTTGGAAACTGTACATGAATTCAGCAATACGGTACCTAATATGAATTCAGCAGTAGAGTACCCAAATGCCAGAACGTACCTTATGTTCTTCTACTTGACGCTTTAGGTCCTCTAGATCTGGACCTAAGGGCTCTGAATCAATTTTCTTTGTCCTTTGCTCTGTTTTTGTTAGCCAATCAGCCAATTGGGCTAGCTGCTGATTTTGAAGGTCCATTAGAATTTTATGTAAACTGTAAAAAAAGAAATAATTATATACATTTATACATGAAAGAAAACAACAGGCAGAAATGGCTGCCTTGTATACTCACAATTATCCTCACGGTGCTTTCAAATTAACTTAGAAGAACACAGAACAGAGACTAGGCAACAGTTTTACAAGGCTTACTCAAATTGTTTCTTCCAGCTCACTTAATTGATACTTAGAAAGACAATCTCTTCAGTGGAGGTTTTGCTTTCAGCACTGAAACCCATTATTTCTGCTGAGATAGAAAAAAGAACACTTTGCGCATTTCTATTGTTAAATGGATGTTCATAAGGCTACAACTCGGGCCAGGATAATAAATTCTGTTATCAAATAGATAACTGAAAATTGGTTTAAGTTGTTTTTAATTAGTCATCGGAAATTTTTTATTAGAAGCAGAAGTACTCCGTGTAATTTATCTGTTGTTAAACTTTTGGCCTCTGATTGCCTTTCTATTAGAGGTGTTTGAAAATCTGAAATTTGTACTCTCTGGTTTCTCAAAACCTGTATCCTCCACTGCAATCACTTTGAAAAACCCTCAGCTAGCTCTGCTTACCAGCTTCCCCAAGTTATAGGTACAGGAGAGATTATTAAATTTTCAGCTATTCAGCGGAGAATGCTCTAGAGAATTAGGAAGGGAAGTACAGCAATTTTGCCTAAACAAAGTATTTTGACTGATTCAAAACCATCTGTCAAGAAAACCATCTTGCCATCTTTAAAAATCCTACAATATTAATCTTTTGTTTCTCAGTAATCTAATCAAATTATCTACTGAGATCATGTAGCAATAATAATGCCATTATTCCTTTCAAATGAGTAATTTTTCTCCTACTAAGCTCATCAGAAGCATTTTAAAAATAATATATAAACTATGGTCGAAGAATGGAATTAAACTATTTGTATGACCCGTCTCCAATTTAACATGTAATTTATAGCTTATATTAAACAGGCAAAGCCATTTTTCTCACGGATATCAAACTTGGTGAAAGCACTGTATGTTGTAATAAGTTACTTATGTCTCAGGCAGAGCTCTTGAAGCAAAAAATTAGAACTCAGCTTGGATATTTGAAAATTTAAATTGAACTTTCACATTGGAAAAAAACTGTCCTGTAAGTAAGACACTAACCCATATTCCTTTAATTTCACTTGTTTCTCAGGTGGTTTTTTGTCTACTGTGACTAAAAGTAGATAGTCTCTACCTATACCAAGTATTATTCAGTGTTTCTTCTCTACTCATTCTCATCTTTACTCAGTATGGTACCATCACTGTAATGACATATCTGAAAAAAAGAGCAGTGGAAAAAATGACTGAGGAAATCGTACTTTTAAAGTGCTCTTTTCTATCAAATACGCTAGAGTCAAAGCACTTCAAAATATATATCTAAAAAGAAATAAAGAATTTGAAATGCTGTCAGTAGAGTCAATGCATATTAGATGCCAATTTTACTTCATCTTCAATTCCGTTAATAAAATATAGCATTTATCAGCTTTATCTATAGTCAAAATTGTATAAAAGAGCCTCTTAAAAGCCATTCTTCCTAAAAATAGTAATGAAAAATCTAGTTGTTATTTGAGAGAAAAAGGAAAATACCTTACTGGAATGAAAATAGATGCTTTCAAGACTCAAACAGAGAGATAGAATACAAAGTAGAATGAATATTATATATATAAAAATGGAAAGAGTATAAATGTTTACAATATTTTACTCAATATGTTAGTTTAATTTCAATTCTACGCATTTAATATTACTCCAGCCACACTGTTTTCACAGATTACATGCTAAATTTGCAACACACTTTAATAATTCTCCTCAGAAGTACTTTTTAAATGACCAAAACATAAGTATGTTTTCTCCCACAAGCCCTGCAGAAATGCATACTGGGAGAAGTACAATGTGTGCACGCTGGGAGGTCGGCAACTTAAGAAATGCTTGGACAAATCCAAACGTTCTGTCACAATTTCAAGGTACGGTCAAGTAAAGCAATTACTTCTGGGTCTGTCTAAACAATTTTGGATTTTCCTGACAGTTTGAGCAAAATCAGAAATTTATAATTTTGAAAATTCACGTCAATCTATGTCCAAAGGAAGCACCACTTCTGTATTTTGCCCAATATATCTATTGGTTTTCAAAAGAAAATAATCATCACAGACGACAGCACTGAACATGTAGATAGCTACTTTTTGGGAGACTTATCAAATTCATCTGAATCATCACCATGATTTAATATTGTCAACATCAAATGGACATAACATGCCAAATCGACACCCTATTTGTGGCCTACTCCTAAGTTAAGGCACATGTCTGAAACTTCAGCACTTGGATTGTTGGATATTTTTTGTTTACTTTATCTCCTATGTTTCCAACAAACCAGAGGAGTGATAATACAAGTGGCAAATGAAGGAAAATCTGGGATATAGAGAAAGTGTGTAAGCAGTGGACAAATGAATCCTGACGAGTACCTGGCTTTGAAGCATACGATGTACTGCAGAGCACTGGATATAAAATATGTGAGGGCCTGAAGGCAAACTTTGAAGGTTTAAGGAAAAAAGCAGACTAAGCCAGATGAGACAACTTTATGGAAATGCTGGCTTGCAAACAAATTAAAAGAAATAAAAGTTTGTTTTCAAATAATGTTTTAGTTATGACTATTTCCTGAATCATTCCTGGCTAGTCCCAGATGATACCACTATAGTATCACTTGTTATGCCTGCAACTCTGTGAAGCTATGCTACTTTCCTGAAGCTCAGTTTTAATTTGTAAAGACTCCAGTTAGTAGTTCTTGGAAGAAAAGGACCAAGGAAAATAAATTGCTATAGCTAGAAACTGAAACTTCCACAGAACTTGAGACCGTGAAAAAAAAAGCGTTCAAAGAAACAGGAAATGCTCCATTAAACCAAATGAGTTACATGTAGATACCAAACTGTAGTACTTTTCAATATTATCTTTCTCAAGATATTTTCTAGAAAGAGAGGGTCATGGATCTTCACGGTATACTATGATTTCCCTTTCTTTTCTGGAAATCATATATTAATTATTGATCAGAATGACCAGAAGACATATGCAGTATCTTTTCTACCCTAATTACTCTCTCTTTGTTTAAGGGGAAAAGTACAGGAAGCTGACAGCCTGCCTCATTCTACCCCATGGTTTGCAAGGGATTAGCTATCTCAGATCTACCTCAGTCCTTCTTCACTTTCAGGTGTATATTCTATTCTCTTATTTGATGTTCTAAACTGGGGTACTACAAAGATTAAATACAATGCTTCATCCCAGAGAGAAAATTTTTTAGCAATAAATGAAATAATACCCTTAGTGCTCTAGAAAATCTGCTAAAGAGAAGTTGGTTAAAAAAACAAGATACGATGAAACACTTTTTTTAAAGAATATGGATACTATTCTGAAGCAAGGAGCATAAACTTGAAAATGAAATAATCACAGATGATTCTTAAGTAGAAGCATGTTTCTTTTTTCTTCCCATTCTCTAGGTACGTTCTGATTTTCAAATTACTTCTATAAATATCTGATAGAGATTTAAGTACCTATTTATATACCTCAGGAGATTATTGTAATCTCTGTTTATAGTGTGGCCCTCATGCATTTCAAATACAAAATACTTTCCCATTGAACTTAATGTGTTCCAATAGTTGTGGAATCCTCCATAAAGGGGCAAACTGTATTACGTTTTCCTCTCCAGGCGTTCATTTATCACTCTGAAATGCTTTACAACAGAGAATCCTATTTCGGGGCTAGGGGGTAAGAGAAATGAAAACTCCTGCTGTTTTCCTTCAGTGTATCAACGTATTGCTACAGGAGTCAAATTTTATTTTCAACATATAGTGAATACAAGGTAAATCTCATTTGTACTGCTTTTACACAACAGCATTGCTGTGTCTCAAACTTTCTCTGATATTCTGACATCTTAAGCTAATTTTTCAGCTCGAGTCTCTTTCACTTTTATACTATTCTTTATCAATAAATCTTTCTACCCTCTTTCTGATTACTTGCTTTTGTTTCCCCTGTGCTACAGCATATGCTACTTTTCTTTACATTTCCTGTTGCTGCTGCTACAGAGGATAGACAGTCTTGCTGTTCTCATCTTCACAAATTCTACCTTTGTGTCTGAATAAAGATGTCACTTGAAGTCTGGATTACAACAATGTGCTAAAAGATTACACTTTAAATTGAAGCAAAAGACAGCTCCTCAGAGTTTAAATAAGAGTATACTAACCCAGAAATATGTTATACAGTGATATGAAAGATGGTTAAGTTCATAATCCTCCAGCTGTTGTTTAAAACACTGGGTTGTGCCTCAATAGGTCAAAATTAGCCATCTCTAAGTACATTACTCCTGAGAAGTTTTCTTTTTCCCTAACCCAAATTTCATTGAATTAATCATAATTTCTTGTATAAGCAATTAAATAGTAGCACAACATTATCTGCGAAGCTCCTATCACTTTGTATGTTATTTCTCCCTGATTTCATATTACTCAAACATAATGTACTTCAGAAGATACTGGACTTCCTGGGGAATGATCTATAGCTGCAGCTGGGAGGTAAATTTAACAATCAGAGTCATATTTTGGTAGACACAGTACAACTCACAGAGATGAGGTTGTTCCTTGCATGTGCTGATTTAAATGAAAATAAATACATTAAATAAAAAAAGCCTACAGTAAAGTATTGTGGATTTTTCTTCTCAAATAAAATGGTACAGCTGGAGGAAGTTAGCCTGAGAGACATCTGAAGTCCATCAATAGTTTTACAGACTCTCAAAGACATGTAAGATTATAATAGATAAAAGTACAAAAATAACATCTCAATACTACAGTAGCAATCAGAAAAGAAAATCAAACATTTGGAATTACGAAGAACACATAACAAAAAAGAGGGCATTGTTATGTAATTATACAAAGTCCTGGTTTGCCCTTTAATATTGGGTGGCATTCTGGACCCCTTACAAGGTAGAACTGGAAAAAGATCAGAGAAAAAGGCAACATAGATAATCAAAGAAATGGAAAAACTTCCATATGAGGAATAATTAATCAGACTCATAATCTTCAGTCTGGAAAACTGGTGACATATATTGAGAAAATGAGGAAGAATACCCTGCTCACCGTCACTTCCAACATAGTAATTACAGGGAATCAATTAAGCTAGCAGAAACCAGGTTAAAAAAAACAAAAATAGGCCATTCTTCAAAAAAATTAATAGTTCATGCTGGGGAATAAGCCTGTGCAATTCATTGCTAAAGGATGTCAAAAGATGCTGAAAAGTTTACACAGGTTCAAGGAGAAACTGAATAAATAGAAGAAAAATCAATGACAGGTTACCAAACACACAAAGCTACTTCCACCTCAAGAAGTCCCCTCAGCTGAAAACAGCTGAAGGTTGTAAGAGTACTACAGAGAACTTTGAAACAAAGACTTGCTCTTTTAGATCAGAGCAAGGGTCCACACAGCCCAATATTCAGTCCCCAGCAAGAGCGACAGGACCTTAAGGCTTGTCCTCTTCTGTTACAGTTAAGACAATAGGCTAGACCTTTGGCCTGACCACCAAAGAAATTCAGCTTTTCATTAAAATCACACTTGCAAAAGGACTTGTTCTCCAGCTGCACTGAAGGAGCCAAGAAGAGTTGCTTACTTAGAACATGTACATTGTGTTTTTCTGAGAGAAAAATTAAAACTTCAGTGGAAAGATTTTAATGAAGCCTAGCTTGAAGTCTTGAAGAAATGAGATACCACTTACTATTAATTCTTCTCTAACAGGGAACTATTAATTCTTCTCTAACAGGGAATATACATTATTATATTATATTATATTATTATCAGGGCTGTTAGTCAAACTCAGGACTGTTTCAGGATACTTTCTCTGACATACTACTTACTTGCTTTGTTTTTTATTGCAATTTATTTTAAATTTACATCATAAGAATAATCTAAAGGCTTCAGTAAAGTAGCCTATTCTGCATTGCATTTTAAATAACTACATACAGTAAATGACTATATATCAAGAAAAACAGTGTACTATACAGATGATTAATAGCATATTCCCTCTCTAAATGCCACTTTCTCACAAGTAGAATTAGAATTAGTTTTAGAATTTTAATTGAAAGCAGACACCATCATATCAAATGCTCTAAAATGCTTTCAGCTATTACACGTTTCCAGTGAGAAATCAGAATAAATGTAGGAATTGTGCTTTTTTTGAATAGTGTAATTTGCCATCAGATAAACCCATATGACAATATTTTCTGATAAGCTAAGCTCTCACTTACTACAATTTTATTGGATCATATTTGGATCACATTTTATTGGATCATATTTTGCAGGTCTTAAAGATTTGCTTCCCTTTTCCCTTTGTATCTCAGTAAAGAGATACATCTCCATTGTAGCTGTATCACACAATATCATGTGATACTTGCTGAAACAACCAGAAAAAGTCAGGTAGGTTACATAAATTTTGGTAATATTTCTGATGGTGATATTAGTGATATCAATATTAGTGATATTAGATATCAATATCAGTGATTTGGTGATATTAGTGTCCAAGTTGTTGATAGTTGCTGATCTGTGCAGCTTTCAGTCTCAAAACCATTTGCAAGTTTAGAGGTCAAAATACATTAAATTTCAGGATAAAAAACATCAGAGATTGAGTCTAGTTTAGAGTGAAGTGAAACAAAATCAGGGCTGTTAGTCAAACTCAGGACTGTTTCAGGATACTTTCTCTGACATACTACTTACTTGCTTTGTTTTTCCATACTGGCTACCCTGAGACTTTCCCATCGAGAATTAAGTAGATTCATTTGTTCTTGGATTTCATTTTCTTCATCATCTGAAAGCTTTCCAAGTGTTAGAAGTTGACTTCCAACTTGCAAAACATTGCCAACACGTCCTTGGTGAGCTGTTAATTCCATCATAAAACCCTGACAATAAGAAAATTCTGTTTTAAGTTCAATTCCTTGGAAGAAAAGAACAGACTTTGGAGATATATGTTCAATTCTACCACTTCTCAAAACTGATTTTCAAATTTACTTTTTATTTTTCCACCCCCCTTCCCCAAACCTTGCAACACAAAACAGAAATAAACATTTTCACTGCTTCATATGGTACAGTCTCCAGTCCTACCTTTGAATTCTCCAAATCAAATTAAAAACTAAGAAAAATAAATGAAAATAACCTAGTAATATTTTTATTTGTTTTATATTTCTGACTTTAACATGGCACACAAACAGATATATAACTGCTGAAAGACTAGTACAACTATGTACCTCGTGGGTGTGAAACTGTTCTTTAACAACTTCTACATCATTGGATATGTCTCCTTGTGCTTGTAATGCATCTTCAGCAGATAGAAGCCACGTGAGTACTTCTTCCAAAGCAGTTTGGTAGTTGTCAAGGTCCATTTCTGACCCCATCAGTGAGGTGCTAAATGTCTTTTCTTCAACAGTTTCTAAAAACTGATCAAAATCAAAATTTTACAGTAACGCAGACAGCATCTACTCCAACAGATTTACAGAGGAATAAATGGAATGCCATTGTCTTGCATCATAAAATAGTTTTGTATTAAAAAAAAACTCAGATGGCTAACGAGTGGGAGGACTCATTAATATAAAAGCTATGATTAAAATTAGCCAAGGCTGAAGGAAATAACAAAACTCAGAGTAAATGAGATATTTTACATTAGAATTCAAAATTCCTCGCAACTAATCTGAATAGGGACAATATTTAAATTATACCTGTAGAGTGTTATTATACTTGTTTTTCAATAAATACTCTAATTTTTCATTTTTAGCTTACTATTTCTCATTCAAGCATTTTCTCTTGGAAATGAGCGAGAAATATTTATTTCCCACAACAGCTAGTAAAATCAGATAATCAAAACAAGCAGTAAATTCCTTGTTTACATTGCAGAGAAACTAATGCAAATGCATCAAAGAAAGGAAAAACAACCCTTTAAACTACAAGCTATGCCAGGCTTGAACAATCCATAGACCTCTATTTTGTTAATACCATGCTATAAAGCCAAAAAAGCTCAAAAATTTCACGCCACACCATAATTTTGTACAACCCCCCCCCACCCCCCAAACCTATAGCAGCTGAGTGAGACTAGGGATACCATGTTTGCAGAGATCTGTGGTGATCTCTGTCAGCTATTTGTTTGAAAATTCTCCATCTGAAAATCCTTTTTTTTCTAAATCCAGTATGGAATATTGTCTCATCTGCAGAACCAAGCACACGCTAACAAGTCTTTGTCAGAGGAAAGAATACTCAGCATAAGTCTCCCTAATAATTTTGACCAGTCTTTGTACTTTTTTCTTCCATGTTATCATAAATGTAGCATGGAACTGCATTGAAAAATCATGGACTCATGACCTTCAACAGCAAAATGATGCAGATTAACTTATGGCTGGAAGGGGAGTTTGTAATAAAATGTGAAGAAATGCTAGAAAGGGGAGAAAAAAATAGCAAAAAAAAAAAAAAAAGCAAATACTAAACACCAAAAGACTTTCTTAGCAGGTATTCCAGACTATGTTTTCATTCCCAGAGGGGTGGTTTTCCTACAGAAAGGAATTAGAAATGGCTTAGAGGAAGTATAGCCAAAGGACTGTGGAATGGTGTCAGTAATCCTTATATCTGGTGTAGTGTGGCAACAACTACTTTTCTGCCTTCACTCAAAACTTACAGCACTGCTGACAGCAGAGAGCTGGGATCAGTCATGAGGTGATGGAGCAGAGAAAGGGAAACAAGCTGCCCTTGAGGTAGAAACAGTTAAAAAAAAAAAGAATGAAAACATTCATCTATGGATATCACGATTGAATAGTTCCCAGATGTTGAGGCCTAATGAAGCCACTTCAGGAATAAGAAAGGGTAGCAGTCAGAGAATAACCATCAGAAGCCACAATATTAGTAGTATTTTGCTATTCTGGAGTGCATTGAGCTTGTAGAGTATTTGTGTTTGCATTTGACAGTGACACATGCAGGGACCATCTGGGTTTTTTAAATGAAAACCCAGTAAATTTAAGTAAATCATCCTCATTGATTTCATTAATAAAATTTAGCCACATCTACACACTTTGAAAACTGGGCTAAACTTCCTTCTGCATCTTTAAGCACTTAATCTGTTAACACGACAAACTAGGGAAGCAATGTCCAGGCATCTCTGATCTGAATCTGTACTAGCAGCGAATACTCACATTGTGAAAAGTCTACAAGTGCCGGAGACTTTTAAAATATGTATTGGAGTCAACCATTGGTTTTGACTCGACAAAAAACATATAGACATGTATTTTAACTCTACTGTTATACCATATCTGCACTGCTGCAGTCTGTGCTGTTAGCTGTCTCAAAGATAACTGTATATCTTCGATTGTCCTGTGTACGCAATGAAAAATAACCACTCGAAGCAGGAATTCAGACTCTGCTATGCAGTCACTGACCATTATTCTGTGACAGGTGCTATGTGGAGCCACTGGTAAACTTATTACTTCAATATGATCTGAAAAACTTCCTGGATTACAAATCCATCCCTCCAATTTACATGCCATGAGGTAAGACTGAATACAGAAGAAAGGAGGACTAGCAGATTACTGCTTTTTCTGCATCTCCATCAAAAACAGAGATTCCTGTTGGCTCAGCTCCAGATGCAAAATCAAACACTAAGCTAAATGCTCATGCGCACACCTACTGAACTAACTCCAGTGAGTGCCCCACAACAGACTCTTTACACTATAGAGCTAAAAAAAAGTTTGGTGTCTCAATAAAATTTTCACTTACACACAGGTTATCCATTTCATAACATAATCCAAATTTCAGTATGCAGACATGCAGACTCTAGAGCACCAAGAATAATCCACATTGAAATAATCCATGTAGTACTAGCACTGAAAAACCTGAATTTTTTTAAATAATGACTGGAGTAAAAAAAAAAAAAAAAAGAACACTTCCTGTTAGCGTTATTTCTGAATTTGTATTCAATCTTTTCACAATGTCTAAAATATTGAGACAAAATTAGACATCTGAGATATTGCATATACTGCTTTGAGAACAAAAACATAGACCTATTAATTGAGATAGAAATGTGACTGCTGTTTCTAATGATAATTTTTAAGAGATTAAAAAAGTACATGTTGAAGTTAAATTGCTGTTGTGGTATTTGACTAGGAAGACCATATTTAGGAAAAAAACCTGCTCAAATATGCATGCAGTTGTATTCTTGAGTCAAAAATTATTTTAAGTAAAGAATTAGGAATTAATGATTACCCAGAAGTAATTGGAATAGGTGCAGTCAAAGCAAAACCTCCCCTTCACTTGCCTATGGTGATCTGTTAAGTCACAACGCATGCATGAGACACAAATGTTTAAGGGGAAAGAAGGCCTGAACAATACAGATGTTTGATGAAGACTGTATCACAACCATCAGCAGAGCTCAAGGGAGCTGGGACTCAGTCAGCTCACAGGTATTTTGAAAACGGGTCAGCCACTTTTGCAGGGAAAATAGTCTTAATTCTTATATGGGCTGACCTAGAAGGAAAGAAAATACTCTGGACAGAAAGGTTGTCCTCTTGGATATCCCTTCTCCTTGCTGTGGCATGTAGAAGAAGCATATCTAGGTGAAAAGATCGGAGTTTGAATGTTTACGCACTGCAACCTTTTCTGTTGGGTGGGGATGCATTCTGCCAAGAGTGGAAGACCTCATGGACATGGCTTTAATTTCAAGTGTAAGGAGGGAAAATAAAAGGCTTGCGACCTTCAGAAGCTTGGAAGAAGGAGGCACACTTGGTGACGAGGAACTGATTCACAGAGCTGAGAGGACGGGCTTGCAGCTGCTTCAGGGTGGGGAAGGGGGAGGAAGGGCTCCTCTCCTGCTGGTGTGTTATGTGCCTCCAGGGAGGAGCAGCAGTGCACATGTGTTAGTCAATTATACACGTATGCTTGTATTAGCTCCTAAAGACTATTTCTGAGTTGTAGAAATCAGTTTAACAGTTTTAGTTAGCAGTAAACACTTAGAGTCCATTCCAGCACTCTTTTTGATATTGTATATTTTCTTCCTTCAGAAACTGCCTCTGTCTCCCTGTAAAAGGTGTAGAATCGGGCTTTAAACATTTATAGCCTTGAAATTCAGCAACATCAACTTTGAAATATAATTTTTTTTAGTAAAGGCAAATTTAAGTCCAGTATAGTTTTCTCATTTTGAAAACTTTCTTTGCAGGATTATAGCCTTAAATAGTAACACACATTCATCACCCTCTAATCATATCTCTTAGCAGGTGGGACTGATACCACTAACTATTCTTTCAGTTGCTCTAAGTCTCTCATTACAAAATCATATTTTATGCCTCTTTAAAATTGCCAAATTATGACTGCATGGGCTAAAATGTTCTCTTCAAGAATTAATACTGTGCATTTTTTAACAGACAATTTCAGTCAGAAAGGGTTAGGCATTTCTGGGAATAAAACTAAGAAGATACACTGTATAGATCACTTATGAGAATAATATTGACCATTCTCTTGTTCTAAATGAGGCTGGCATTTTCATTTTATCAAGGATTTCAAATACTGCCTTCATGAACGAAAAGGTCTTGTGTCAGGGAGATGGTTTTGGCCATTCATATGAAAAAGTTGCCCAGATTTGGCCTTAACATAAATCCAAAAAACTGCAGTTTCGCTTGCTCAGTTGAGTCGGCCTAGACTTTAGTAGCTGATTTTCCTGGTGAGTCTATTTCCACTCGCAATGCTTCCACCTGGATGAATTGGCCTATCCTCGCAAATGCTGTTTTGAGATGCAGGAGACTATTAGTTCATGACAGCTAAAGTGAGCTGAGTCTGCATGCATGTCAAGAGGGAAAAATCTAGAGCCAGGCAGTGTGGCTGAAAGTAGTTTACAAAAAGAAGCAAAGAAAATGCTTGAACAACTGCCAGGAAAGGTGAGACGGAAATTACTCTCTTCTGCTCACTATATTAGACATAGCTGGTAAAAAGACTGATAGCTGCAAAGGAAAATTGGGCACCTAGAGAGTGAAAGGCTAGAGGCTGAGATCAACTGAAAGCCAGTGAAAAGCTTGGAAGCAATTGGGTGAGATGACTAAGGAATGGACTGAGACCGGGAACTGAGGATAGGTACGATACTATTAAGAGTGGAGATATAGGAACCGAGGCTGCTAGGCACCTGGAATAATGGAATTTTCTAACAATTTAAAAGCTATATCATTTTATATATATGGTCAAATAGTGCTTCACAAAATATAAACTCAGGATTTTTTACTTAGCATGTTTTCTTCTACACACCTACTCTTGAAATACATATCAAAGTTGATTTTGGATAGTAGCAACTTGACCCTTTTTTCGACCAAGCCTACCAAAGCATATCTGTTTTATTAACTTTCTAGAAAAAATTTTTGGCCTACGCTTATTTAAGTAAGTGTTTTAATCTTTTTTTTATACTCACTGCAAAACGTAT